TTGTTGTTTTTGTGTTTGGTTTTGTTTTTTTTTTTGTAGAGGAAAATGTTACTTACAGGTGCAAGTTCCAAAGCTTTGGGGTAGCATTCTGTTACGTGAAAGAGCAGCCACCAGCTACTCCCATGCCACTCTCTTTCTTTGCTTGTCTTCCTTTCCCCGTGGGCTGCTCTGCTTTGTACTGGTGCTCCAGCAGTGGTGACGGTGAGGTGACACTCCCACTGTAATTTTCTGCTACTGGGGTGCAGAGTCAGCACCAGTACTTCAGTAGCAAGGGCAGAGTTGGTATTAAAAAAGGTCAGTTGGGAAAACTTTGTTCATTTGGTTTTCCTTTGCCTTGAGGCAGTGCTTTGAATAGTGTTAATCCTTTTTTCTTCCCACACGATGCTTTTTCACCCTTTTTCCTTCCTGCCAGCTTTGATGGAAAGTTACGTTCAAAAGGTAGTGCGGGTGATAGCATGTGTCTCTTTTGGGGTGGGAGTGACCATTTGTGCTTGGGAGCATTGCCTCGTGCTCTGGGAGTGAAATCCGCTCCTCTTTGTAGAAGCTTAGTAGGAGACCAGTGCATCAGAAGCAGTTTGGAGTGCAGTGTAGCCATTCTTAGGTATTAAAATCTCAAGGGTAAACAGTAAATTTTGTTTATTCAAATGTGATATCTCTCTTTGAAGTTCTGTTCTTGTCTAAATTTGTATACTAGCAGGTCTGGCCTTCATTTAAATGATCCTTGGGGTTTTTTTGTGCCACTTAGAAAAAAAAACAGTGGGAAAGCCTTGACTAAGTTAATAGTGTTGCTAAGATGGAAATGATGAAGAAAGCTCAGGATTCCTGTTTGGACCTCATGGGAAAAAGTGGTTTGAAATGCGTGGTGGGTGGGGGTGCACATTCCTAAACCTGTCCTTTCTTTTCCCTGTTTCTTCTCCCCCACTGTGTTCTATACAAAATACTACAGTATGTTTAATGAAACCAATAAAACTATTTGGCCAAGAGTGTTAATCTTTCTGTGGCCCAATTAGTGCATGGTTTCTACTTTTAACGTTAATGTGGGTATTTTTCGGAAGGCAGAACAATAGGCAGCTTTGTGCTGTGTGTACCAGGTTTTCCCCCTTCTTGCCTGTATTGTGCATTTCTTCCTATCTATTCCAAAGGGAGAGCTCATGTGCAAAGACAGTGGAGCAATCTGGAACAGAGACTTGTACCAGCTCCCAGGGGCCAGGACGTGCTGCTCTGTGCTTTTGTAGCTGCCTCTCAGTTGCAAGTCAAGTGACTGTGACTCTGAAGACTCATCATTTTTTCTTCTTTCTTCTTCCTTCTGCTGTGGCCTGTGTTCTCCTTTTTGCTTCATCCGTGATGCTCTTCACCAGAAGGAGAAACAGCTGTAGCTGTTTAGAGTGGTCTTAAAACAAACAAACAAAAAACTCCAAATAAATACACATAAGCAAAGCAGGGGGAGTAACTGTTGATGGGCTCAGCTTTAACATACAGTGGAGTCACACTTTATCCCAAAGGAGGAAATAGGTCTAGCAAGTGTCTTCCTGTACAGACTGAATGGGAAGGAACAAGGTTTTTTGGGGGTTTTTTTGTTGTTGTTTGTTTGTGTATGTTTTTGTTTTTTTTTTTTCTGTAAGCTTTGCTTTTGCAGTGTCTCTCCCATTAGCTGGTCATGTGGGGCATCGGGGTGGACCTCTGTCAGAAGCAGGAGCTATAGGCCCCTCAGGGCTCTCTGTGGGATGGAAGTTGCCTGAGTTTCATGTTGCCAGCAACCTCATCAAGTGGAAGGAACATGTTCCTGCAGAAAAGACAGGTCTCTTGGTGTGGCCATGCAGAGAGGGCTGCACTGTTTGGTCCTGTCCCCCTACCATTTGTCAGTGCTCTTGTTTAGTCACTTGCTCTCTGCTTTTCCTCCTTTTCACACAGGATGAATGTGACACTGGGGGGTTTCTTCAAAGTATAAGATGTCTTGAATGCTTGTGACCACTTCCCTGTTTCCTAGAGGCTTTGGTCCGATGTTAAATGCAACCTGAGGCTGCACTGTTTCTCAGCTTATTTCCTGTTTATCCTTTTTCCTGGAGGTCTTTGTTTTCTTTTGGGGAGAGGGAGGAAGGAGGCTCTATCAGCACAACCTCCAGGCCGGGGCATTTGGTGTGAGCTGGGTGGGTTTACAGTCTTGAAGGCAGTATCTTTGCTGGTTGCTGCCTGTCTGAATCCCTGAGTTTCATAGGTGCTGTGGAAGAAAATCCCAACACTTTCCCATTCTCAGTGATGCATTTTTTTTAAAGAGGAAAAAAAAAACAACACAACAGCCCAAAGCAAAAAAGAAAAAAAATAAACCAACAAAAAACTGCAAGAGAAATCTCTCAGTATGTTCCTGCCTAAAGGCGCTCTGCCACGGGTTTTCCCACAGGAAGGAGTGATTTGGCCCAGCATTCTTATTGTTTCTATATCCTATTGCAAATAGAAAGTTATGCTTCTGAAATTGGTGTGTGCTGCTCATGCAGTTGTCTTTGTTTCAGTGGTGCATTTTTGTTTCATGCAAGAGAGTGGAAAATACACAGGTAAATAAAAGCATGCAGTTCAGTTGTGATCTCTAGACTGCTTTCAAAATTGGAAATTTTTAATGTGCAGAAAATGGTTTTAAGGACAAGATCTCTGACTACATATATTTGCTTGCTTTTGGAGGAAGATATTTGGATTCAGAAAAGAAAAAACATTGGCTCATAGAAACTATGAAAGGATGTAATAGTATAATATGTAGTTTTCCTCCTAAAAAAACTCAAAACAACAAAACAGGGAGCAAGTTGACAGGTTTTTCTGAAACAGTAGAGTTTTTTAATGTGGATATATGCCTGACTGTTCTGCAAACTCTCTGTGCATTTCCCATTTTCAGTGTTGCTAAAAGCAACACTAGAAATTCTGACTTTAGTTCTCTGGGAAGCTACTAAGCTGTCTTAAAGTTACCTTGCCAAACATGGGAGTCTTCACAGTTACATAATAGATTTTCTTCCAGGATGTATCAGTGGTGACATTAATGTGCTAGGTATCGACTGAAAGAGGAATGAATATGTGTATTTTGGAAGGAATTGTGCATTTTGTTTGTTTAGGGTTTTTTTTGAGGGACTAAAGCACTTACTTTTTTTAACAGAAATACCTTAAAATAGTTTAAACTGGTCCTTATTTCTGATACTGCTAAGCAGATAGAGCAAGCAGTTTTAAATTTAGGCCAGTCTTGAAAATAATTATGTTGCTTATTTTATTCAAAAGTAAGTCAACTACCAACTAAATTATTAAAGTAAGAAGGGGCAGGGGGGAAAGAAATAATTAAGTTGTTCTTGAATGAGATGGACCATTTTTAAAAACAAACAAAATAACAGACAAAAACAAACAAAAATAACAGTAAAGTTACAGCAGTTACAACAGTTTAGACAAAATAAAACCAAATAAATAACTGGCTCCCATAATTACTGGAGAAAACATGGAAGGATGGGTGCTTGGCCTCACCTTGGAGCAAGAAGTCCCTGTGTCGCAGGGATCACTAGTATTTTCTTAACAGAAAAAAACAAAAATAATTAGAGAAAAGTTATTCTGAGTTGTTCAGGTTAGTCTGTTTTTCTTGTTTTGAAGGTGCAGATGGAAAGCAGTGTTTGTTAAGAGGTTGGTTGATGTTTTCCTCAGCCTTACACTACCTGGGCTTAGTCAGGTCCCAGTTTTTGTCTCTAGACTGCAGTGGCTTGCTGTGCCAGATCATCTGTGTGCTGTTCCTTAGAAGGTTGGCAGCTAAATGTAGGAAGGTTGAATCTTCTGCTTTGTCTGGCATGGTGTGAAATGAGGAACCACTTGACACTAGGTGGGCCCTTTCTTTTTGACTTCCTGTTCTTGGGTGCTCCAAATTGTTGGCAGTTGGGATAACTTAGTCGTTTATTGTTTTCAAATGCTGTTCAAACAGCATTTGAAGGTGTGTTGTGATGACTGATTTGCATGTTATTGAGATGTAATTTATTTTAAAAGGAAAAAAACATGTTAACTGTGGTTTGAAGGTAATTGTCTGTTCTCTTGATAAAAGGATAACCTGTATTGCGCTTACTGATTGTGATTTGTAAATCTGAGATGACGAAATATCCACAGTGTTTGTTTTCATAATGAAATAAACATTTTGCCTGTAAGGTTATAAAGGTGTATTTCTCCATTAAAAACATATCAGTAGTTTTCCATATTACAAATAATCTTTTCCAGAGGCTATAGCCATGAGTGCTGTGGGCAGAGAACTCCTTTTTCTCATGTGTTGATTGTTCCACATCACTTCTAAAAATGATGTTTAAGTGCCCTGTCATTCTCCAGAGAGAACAGGCACCCTTCCTTAAACCCCAGTGATAGCATGATAAGTTTGTGGTTGCAGAAAGGGGTGTGGAGGAATTCTGTTGGAACATACAATGGCTACTTACGTCTTCAACTCATGTGGGAACCTTGGGCAGTGGATGTGAGGAATGTGCCAGATGGTCCCAGAAACCTCTGTAGTAATTTCACCACTGCTAGAAGGAAGAAGGTGGCCACCACAGCAGATTCATGTATTGGAATAAATGTCAGTCTTCCAAGAAGAGAAAAGGGGAGCAGTGCATGTATGAAATTGAATCTAAATTGAAACCTAAATTCTCTAGGTGCAGAATATTCTTCCAACTTCTTAATCAAATGTCACTACTGTCAGTGATAGGCTAGTTTGCTCTCTCTTCCTCCAGTTTTTTGCTGGCTTAGTACTGCAGACCAAGCTGGTAGGGTTTTCTTTATTTGCCCAGTTTTGCCAGCAGCAGAAGCAGCAGCATCTCCCAGCCCAGTGCCTGGGCACTCATGAGAGTGGGCACTTGGCTGCACTGGCACTGCTGATGTGTTTCTGTCATCAGACCTATCTGTTAGTCAGGGGAGCCCTCAAAATAAAGGGCTGTAGTCTTACTTTCCTAAAACAGCTTCCATAAAAGCTTACTCCCTTTCTCTTTTTTCCTTCTTTCTCAATGTAGTGCTAGAGGGTGCTGCTGAAGAAGAGGCTGAAGAGCCAGACGCAACTGTACATACTACACTAAGTGAGGAGACCAGCAACCCAGAAGAGAGCCACAGTCAATCAGGGGAGAAAGATGAAGGTAATTGGTTCAACTAGCTCTGTAATTCTATAAATTAAGGCATTCATTTAAGAATCTAGAAGCATTTCTCACCCATCCAGGCACGTTATTGTGTGAACAGTATAAGACACATTGAGCCAAAGCACTGGTGCATACATTTTTTTTTCCCATCCCATATCTATCTGAAAAGTATAAAACAGGTTGAACAGAAGCATGGGCATATAAATTCCCAACTACCACTGCAGGCTTCCAAACGAAGATTTTCTTGGCTCGCAGTAACTTGGCACCACATAACTTAGCCTCAAAAAACCACCTGTTTATAATCCTCAAACTTATGTTCCAAAGACAGTATTATGGAGAGATCAAATGCTCACAGATAAACTTGTTCCTCCTTGTTCACCCTCACATACTCCTCTGTTGCAGTGACAACTCACAACACACATTAAGATTCTGTGCTTTCCACCAGAGATGATAGAGTAGTAATACTAACAAACTAATAGTTTCCTAGTTTGTTAGGAAAACTTACTGAGAGGGGAAGGAGTGTTTAATTTGAAAGCATCTTCCTTTTCAAACTTGTAAAGAGGAAAATAGAAGGCCTTTCCTGTGTGGTGACATGTCCATATGTTAAGAAACCAAAGATGATATTTTAGGTGTATTTTAAATTTGGTATCTTAGATAAGAGCATCCCTGCTACTTACAGCACGTGATGGAGAAGTTTGAACCTCAACAGCTTTAGCTGTGACCTTAGTCATGTATGTTACACATGTTCTCCATGGACTAGTATGGCTTGGTATACCAAAATCACGTATGTGCCATCTGTGACAGTAAAGAGGCAATAGGGGGGATACAGGGTTTTGTTTTCGTTGGATTTTTGCTCCTTTAGCTTATTCCGTGTACAGGGCTGGCTTAAACCATGCTTAAAAGATAACCCAGTACCCTACACTACCCTACACAGTTACTAAGGCCTTAATTGTGCAGTCCTGTTTAAAACATGTGCCTGCTTGAATGATTGTGCTTGCCAGTGTGTGCATTCATCAGTACTGCTCTACTAGTTCATGGTGATCACAAGGTACCACAAATACTATTTCATAGCAAGAGAGCATAAAGTAAATCATTCTATAAGCTCCATATTGGATTAAGGTTGAAAATGAAGAATATGGGAATGTCCTATGAGAAAAATGTACATTGTCCTATGCATTCCAATATGAGAAGCTTGTTCTGTTACAAGAACTCCAGTTATGGCTTGTTGCCTGTGCTCCATGATGATCCAGCAGAGTGTGGTGTGAATTACAGGCAGCTGAAAATACTGTGTGTTGTTTGGGTTTTTTTAAGATGGCCTAGGAACTCCTATGTGTGTTTTTGTTTTTAATTCCAGAGAAGCAGCTGGAAAGCTTAAACAGCTATAAGGTATCACCAAGTTCACCAAACAGTTTGGACGGAGCAGACTTGTCCTCCATTGACGCCATGATGTCAGCAGTGATGAATGTGGGGAAGATTGCTGAAAACGGTGGGAATTCTCAAAATGTCAAATCCCCCTCAAAGTCTCCTGCACCAAATCGGATTGGCAGGAGGAACCAGGTACGTAAACTTAAATGTAGGGAGGGTAAAGGGGAGACAAGCAGCTGCCTGGGAAGTGATAAGATGTAATTTATGTTTCTTTGATTGTTTTGCCTTTTTTCCCCATACCAGTCGTTTCTTGCCTCTGCCATTGTTCCTCTATATTTTCTGGTATCTCTGCAGACCATAACGTAGAAAACTGGGTCTGCTTGCTTGGATTGACATGTAAAACATTCGAGCACAAGCTCCGGTGCCATGCAATGTGAGCTGGTCTAGCAGATGCCCCTAGCAGCAACAAAGTCACCAAAGAATTGCCATTTTGTCTTGCTGCATCCTTTCTCCAGGCTCTTGCATTCACATAATCTCATGAGAAGCGTAGCTGCCCCACAGAAGATTCAAGTGATTTATGGTTAAAAGTGGTTCTGGAACAAAACATTCATCAGGATACTCAGTTCATATGTGTAGTGTAAGGTGCCCCTAATTTCCTTATTAATAAAAGAAATATTGCAGAATGCCTTGTATTAATTTTGCAGAGTAAATATATGTAGTTTTTATCAGGGTTTTTCCATTTACCAATTGATGGCATCAGCTGATAGCAATATTGATTTAAACAAGTGAAAAGAGAGAGTCATATCAGTTAAGCTGTAGTTATTTATATCTGTGTTTTTCTCCTGCTGGGCCAAGCTCCAAAGAAGGTGCTGCAGACTGTCAAGAAAACCCCCAAATCCTTGTGGTCATTTGACTTAGAGCTTGAGGTGAAGCACAGAGATTTTGTAAATGAATCGAGATGTAACAGGGACCAGAAAGGTTGAAAGGCATGTCTCATGTGATGTTCCTATAGTAGTTTATTAATAGCTTGCTGAGTAGCTGCCCAGTTGCCAGACTTGTGACTTGTCTTGGATTTTTTAGCATGAAAGGAGTTAAAAGCCATTAGCTGTAAATGGACATCCTTAAATGAGGAATGGACAGTATACAGACAGCTGTGTTTGTGGGATTCTCTTGTCTAACACCTGGCTCTAAGGTTTATTTACAATGTTCTCACTTAGGGGCTGCCCTGGTTCCTTGATTTCATCATGTGAAGTGAGGCACTGGAGTCCAGACCAGTCTCAGGGCAGTGCTGTTACACAGCTGTCCACCGGTACAGCATGTGGTCTGGCTTCAGGGAAGTTTATTAGTGTTGGTGACCTTTATTCCACCTGGTATTTCAGTGGGCATCGAATCAAAGGAAGCTCTGGAGTAAATGTGACAGGATTAAGAGGGATTCTTACAGCATAAAAATAAACAAATACATTGAAAACGTAGTAAATAGTCTATTTGTCTTTAGGCTGAAAGATTGTTAAGGCCATAGGGGCAAATGGCTACATTACTGAGAAAATAGAAGTGAGATGTGAAATACTGAGTGGGTATCAGTCTTGTTAGCAGACTCTAATACACCAAATTTCCACTTTCAGCATAGCAGAATGAAAGCAATGAATTGTTTTAGTGTGTAGCAGTGCAGGGATCTCAGATTCTGGTCAGAATATGCCCCTTATTATAATTTCAAGAATAATAACAGCTGATTCTCTGGGCCTGACTGCTGTTTCCCATGAGTTGGCAGCGAAACATTTTGCCCTGAACCTTTGTCCCAAGTCTATGGTTCTCTTTATAACGCTGACTTTATCTTGGCTGCTGTCTACCCATAGTCTAATAAGCATGTTTTCACATAAGCCTGCATGTATTTTAACTTCTCATTTGCTTTGCTCTTGAAGAAAATAAAAAGTGTGACAGAGGTGTTTTTTTGAACTGGAGAAAGACAGGCTTAAAGCACAACTCCAAAACCATTTGCCATCAGTTGAATGCAGAGCAGTTGTGCCAGGTTGACTTACTAAAGGGAGAGTAGCTGACAAATGAGCTGCTAATTTTATCTTTCAGTTCAAGAACTGTGTTTTCACCATCTTGGCTCTGTGGGGTAGCTGAGTGCTGTGTTTTAAATTGGTGAATGGGGGTACTCTTACAGTGGGGATGCTAATGTTTTTTGGTCTGGATTGGGTTAGTCAACGGATTTGCTTGAGCTGTGTTATGGTATGCAGCATGTAGCCTGTCTGACCACTGGAGAAAGTTTGGGTTTTAGTTAATAATAAACCCTAGATTCAATACTAATCTGCTGTGACTGAGCTATAGTGTGTTTCTGATCTTTGCTTCAAGGTGAACCAGTAATTATCTTCTGTTAATTTGCTGATTTGCAGAGAAGGCAGTCTGGAAAGCAGGCTTTGGAATCATCAACTGCATCATGTAGAACTGCAGCACTCGTTTAAAGAGAAGGGGGGCAAAAAGCCAGTAGTGGGTTGATAATTTTGCAGAAATAGCCTAGGGATTAAACATCATCTAAACTGTCAGCATGTATGGAGGGATTTTCCTCACAGCACAGTGTGTTTGTTCTCTGTCTTGAGCCAGGTTTTAACAGGGTGCAGTATAATTGGAGCTGAACATTACTCCACGGTCAGGTTGTGTATAGTAAAATTAAAGTTGTATAAGTAGGATGGAATGAATGTTTGTGAATTACATGTTTGTATATAAAAAATGGGGGAAGGGCACTGAGATAATGCATTTTAATTTTCTTTGAGTGTTCAGACTTCATAATGGCAGCCTTTCTTGCTTTCTTTCTAATGTTTTGCAAGTGCTAGTGCATTAGATCTTGGCCTGTATGTGTGGCCTACAGTGATTACCTTTGGGATGTAGAGGCTAAAATATAGTTGGAAAAACATGTACAAGCAAAAGAGTGGGGAGAAGTGGGAGAACCTAATCCTTTCATTTTAGAAACAAAGTCTCAAGACTCATTTTCTTCAGGCAAAATGGTAAAATGGCTCTTCATCCATGTCCACAGGTCACAGAAGCTTTTGCAAAATTATTATGGCCCTGTTTTTGAAAACAAAATGTAATACAGGGACTCTCTAGAACAGTTCCCCAAATAATGCAGGAGGAGATATTGCTTTATTGAGAGATAAAAAAATAAGTTTTCTAACACTGTGTCAGCATCTTGCCATCCTAATGTGCCAGAGACTTTGTCACAGAGACCTTGGTTAATCATTCTCAGTGTTTTTTGTGAATGCTGATGTCTGACAACCTGGAAATGGTTGCTTCTGGGTTGATGAGTTTGGAATATCACTTGGGGAAGAGAATTGTATGGAGAGAGGAAATGTATAGACACACTCATACCCATTTACTTGCAGCTAAAGAACTGGTGAGAATGGATTCTGCTTTTTGCTTGTTCTCAAGCTTTTACTAATGATACTTAGGACAGCCAGCAAAGAACTTCAGTAGAAAATAACACTTGGCATAAAAAATATGCTTTCCCATTGGTCATTCAGAGATGTTTTTTTGTACTGTCTTGTCACTGGTGGTGCATCATTCTAATGGAAAACTGAGTTTAATTTTGAGTGCCAAATCATCTTCCTTTTAATATATAGGCATTGGTGCATAAGCCATGCCTGGCTTTCTGGTGAGGCTGTGAAAATGCCCTTTACATCATCCAGTAGCCATCCTTGTGGACAAATTGAGGCAAACAGCTTTGGTTCCTGCAAGAGTGCCATTTCATCCTTGGCTGGATCAGTGGTGGCTTTGCTCAGTGTCTCAAGGGCATACTTAAATCAGGTTGAGCTCTCTTGGTCGATTGCATTGTCTGTGCTTGTGGTTTGACCATGGTTTCTCCTGATTCTCACCTGGGCGGAGAATGATGGGGTTCATAATGTGTTCTTTAAGAGTCACGTACATTCCTGCATTGTCACCTCTTTCTTGCTATGATCTCATCAGATATTGCAAGCTTCAGAAGGGTGGGGCCTGGCTGGTGTGCCTGGATGGGATGCTTCCAGCAGAAACACAGGATGCTAAAGGAAATGGTGCTGGTGATTCAGTAAATGCCACTCTTCCTTCTGAGTCAGACATGGAGCAGAACATACAGCCCCTACAAAAGGGCACCAAGATAGTGCTTTGCTGTCAAGATGGGGTGGAAAATCTGAAGTTCTGACAACTTGTGCTATTAAAAATCTTTTGGAAGAATAATGATGTTTTTCCCATATATTCTGACGGTATTCCAGGAATTACTTTCTGGTCAGCTAAATTCCTCCTGGCAGTTTGAGCTCCTTGCAATTACCTTCACTTCCTGTCCTAAACTGCTACTGCTGAATGTCTGTGTGCTGTTAAAACAGCTGCTGTACTTCTATGGTAGTTGAAAAGGCCTGTTTACAAATTCAGAAGTTTCTTAAATTTGCTTGAGGGATCTATCAGATGATAAATGTATAAATGCAAGTTATTCTGTTAGCAGTGTCCTTTAGTACTTGGGATGGATTATGTTTTTCCACCCTCATTACTGACAGCTTTCTAGTCCTTTTACATTGATATTCCTTCTGATTGTTTTGTTCTCTTTTGTCCACAGGAAACAAAAGAAGAGAAGTCTTCCTATACCTGTCCTCTGTGTGAAAAGATTTGCACTACACAGCACCAGCTAACTATGCACATTCGTCAGGTATGCATACGACCAGCTCTTGATTTCTTACTTCTATTAAGAGTGTTTCATCTGCCAAGTTGCATTTTGCAGTGGTGAAAAACAATTCCATGTGTAAGCCAATGAAATGCTTCCATTGTTTTGCTTTTATTTTTGCCTTCCCTTGAATTTTCTTCAAAAAGCACACCCCACAATCCTAACCCTGAGGTGGGTAATTTTCCTCCCTTCCTTGCCTGGCACTCCACCCCCCACCCAGTGGCTGAAACAAGGATGTGTGTCCTGTTCTGCATAGCTTAAGGTATCCTAAAGATCCGGAAAACCACTTCGATCATGAGGCCTAGGTCCTGTTTCATTGTCCTGTTTGAGTACAGATCTTTTTACTGGTCATGCAAATTAAGAAGCAGGAAGACATAATTTTTTAAATCAACTCAGTGTAGAAGAGCCTCTACATATCTTTTACAGGATATAGCAGTTTTGGAAGGCTTTTTTTTTTTTTTTTTTCTTCTTCACTGAATAATGCACTTTTTTGTCAGCTACAGGCCTGTTCTTGCTCCTCCTGAAATATATGCATACTTAATAAGGAGGTTTGCCCTTTTCTCTAGCAGAAGGTTCTGCTTTGGATGCTAAGGTGTGGTTGATGACTGGCTTCACGAGATACTTACTATTTCAGTTTTTCCTCCTGTACTGTAATTGTTACTTAATTATTTTTTTCTTACTCTCCTGGAGTTTTTTTGGGGGGCTTTTTGTATATGAAGAAATCTTCAAGTCTCTGAATGCAAGTAAGAAAGAGTGGTACATCTAGCACAGTATCTAATGGCCATAACTTGACCTTGTAATGCATTCTTAAGGAAACAGAAGTCTGCGTGTACACTCAGAAACAGTTTAGTTTTATTGTCTTACTATGCAGTAGGTTTAAAATAAATATCTTTAAAGAGTATTTGTTTTTAAGTGTCCATCTTCTGCTGTGAAGTTCATAATTCCATCCTCTTTCCTTACCGCTCATACAACCCCAAACCACTGCACAGTTTAAAGTATCCCAGGGTACCATTTGTCTGATGGGTTGTTGCTGAGTCCCTCTGTATCCTGTTTTGCTGCAGACCCAGCAGAAATGCTGCATTGCAGGCTGTATGAACAGTTTCTTGTGCTGCTGGTGCATTAAGGGGTTAAAGATGAGGGGGGAGGAGGGGGGCTGGAGTTGAGGGAGGAGGGCTGGGGAGGACAGGTATCTACAGGGCACACCTTCATATAAGGTATTGTGCCAAGTGGCTCTTTAGAGCTGCTTAATTTGTTTATAGTTCTTGCTGATATTTTACTGGCACTTCAGAAGGGGCATTCAATGAAAAAAAAAATCATTGCTTTCTCCAGCATAACACTGACACTGGAGGGACAGACCATTCCTGCAGCATCTGTGGAAAGTCTCTGAGCTCAGCGAGCTCCCTTGATCGCCACATGCTGGTGCACTCAGGTGAAAGGCCTTATAAATGTTCAGTATGTGGACAGTCCTTCACCACCAATGGAAACATGCACAGGTGAGTGCTGATCGTGCCCCAGGAGTTTGGAAAGGATCACAGCATAGGGGGCTGTTTTGTTTCCTTGGTGGGACTAGCAAGCTGACTAATGACACTTGGGCAGGAAATGTGGAGTATCTGTGACCTACAAATGTGGCATAACACACACTACAGCTACTAGGATGCTTAAGTAGTGGGAGGAAATCAGAACTGAGAAAGATCTTCTAGCTTTCTTTAAGTATTACCAAGAGTTGTTATAGCTTTCTTTTTTTTTTTTTTTCAGTAGTAGTAGTATGACAAATGGATTTTTCTCAGGGGATAAAAATATATAGCCAAGCTTCTAATTTCGTAGCTTCAGAGTCATGGATTCATCTGGGGTTTTGTTGGTGTTATGTACTTAGGTATTCAAGTGCCATCACGAAGATGCCTCTTCAGTATTGTTTTTAAATACATACATCAATATTTGTTTGCACTACAGACGACTTACTGCACTATAGGTCTGGCAAATTCTCTGCAGCTCAAATTTTCAAATGCAGTTTCCCTTGTAGGGATGTAACAATATGTACAGTAGTCAACTGAGGAAACAAAATGTTAAAGCACATGGATTTTCCTTCTTCTCTCTCATCCCCTGATTAACTATTCATTTATTTGCATGGGTGGAACATCTCAGAACTGATTAAGACTTCATGGATTCCCACATAGCTTTAGTCCCCATATCAAAGAGTTTACAACCTACAAAGAAACTGTAAGATGGGTGGAGGAAAAGAATATTGCTTACAAGCAAAAGGTTTTAACCGTGACAGAAGCGGTAGTTACCGACTGGTTCTGTGTGGAAAGGAAGACGTCTTGTTTCCCTTGATTATTACCAATAATTTTCCAAGCAGTGTGCTAGAGGTGGAATGAAGGGGTGATTTTGATGACAGTAGGAAAGATAACATAATCCTGCACAACGGGAGCAGTACCTGCTAGCAGCGTTACCTTTTCTATATCATTTTGCTCACGTTAAATGCTTGGGTGAAAAGAGAGGGAATGCAGTTTTGTAATTCCATATGTATTTAATTTACAATTGATTGGAATTGGGGAGATGTGGCAAGATAGATAAAAATGAGAAGGGAAAACCACAAAGAGATACTGGCCTTGGGCACTGAATAAATCACACATCTGACTCATCTGACCAGAGGTGTTGTGAGCCACGTTTGCCAGGTCAGGTCATTACTCTGTGTGACGTGTGGAAGGCAGGGCCACTGCTGAGTTGCAGCTGATGCCACTGTCAGTATCCAAGGGTGACTTCCAGTGGTGGAAGTCTGGGATGGTCAGTCACTTGTGTCTGGGTGGCTTGCTGAAGGACTGTTTGTGTGGTTTATTTGGGATTTTGCTCACTGGGCATCTCTTACGCTCCCTTAGAAGCAGGAAAGGGAGGCTTCCCCTGAAACTTGACTCCAGACCTATAAGACATTGATGTAGTCAACTTTGCTTATGCAGGTTTCCCTGTATAGCAGCTCTTACTGTAGCAAATTTATAGCCAGAATTGCCAGACTAGGTAACTCGCCCAAAAGAAGTAGAGATGAGAACTTTATGATGAGAAGATAGTTTGGTTTTAATTTTTTCTCTTAATAAGATGATGCCTGAAATTACCGGGATGGAGTTCTGTATTTACTGACAGCACTAAGAAGGACCTAAGTTCATGCAAGTGAAATCTTGATATTAAAAGTTTTCTTGTCTGATAGGTCCCTGTTGGTTCTGTCAAGCTCCTTCCTTCTGCAGCAGCAGAAGGCTGTTCCTGAGCTTGGTATCTCTGCAGCGAGTGACCCCAGACCCATGACAAGCAAAATTCTGAGCACACTGAAATGTGCTGGTTGTGCTAAAGGAGAGTTGTGGTTGTCAGACTTTGCCTTCTGGTCTTGCTCAGTGAATAACCTTTTCTTGTTGCTATAACTGACTGTAATGCTGGATCTTGTTGCTGAGGGAAAGCATGAATGTGCAAATAGGCAGATGAGGATATATGCAAAGTGAAATCAAATTTTTTTATCTGGTGCTATGGCATACTCACAAGGAAGATGTTCATTTTGCCCACCAGTACCTCCTTCTGAAACAGGTATTTCTGGTCTAAGATGGTCTGAAGTAAATTTCTTTTTCAGGCATCTCAAATTTAGCTGGAGCATCATGTCCAATGGACTGTCAGTAACGTGGCTGAATGCATCTCACTCAAAACTTCTCCTGCCTCAGGATTCTGGAGCAAGGACCTGTTTGCCAGGTCCTGCCTCATGTGTAACTCGTGCAGGCCACATCTGTGGTGTGCCATGTTTGTTCTTTTGTACCAGCTAGATAATACAAGTCTATCTTTCTCCTCTTTTATTGCTCTTTATTTTTGCGCTACAGTATCTAAGTAGTGACAGATGTATGTCCAAACCAGCAAAAAAAAAATTCTTATGTTCCCGTGGTAGCCAGCATGGTAGTATCCCTGGACTATTGCACAACATGGGGTCAGAGAGAGGAGTTACTGGTTTAGAAGAAACCTGTGATGTGCTGTTAAAGAACCAGTGTAACTTGTGAAGGTCCTGCAGGAGCTTCCCAGGATTTATTGCACTTACACCAAATATGCTTAGTTTACAGGAGAGGAGCAAGGGAGAAGATGGTCTTCTGGTATCTGAATGGGGAGAAAAATGTGTGAGCTTATGCCATGTCCATCCTCTCTTCTCTTTTTCCCCCTCTGCCATGTTCTGGCTCTTATTTACCTGTCTATACTATTCTTAAATCCAGACTTTTAAAAGACCTTTTAGGGAAAAAAGTTGGATGGAATGGTTTTGTCTAGGGAAATAATGTGCCATGGTAGTGCTTACTGCTGTTCCATCACAGAATGAAATTTCTGATATATCTTTCAGCCTCAAAGCAGCCACATCATTAGATATTCAGCTGAGTAGAGGAGGGAAGGATACAAGTTTTGATTGCTTTTTTTGGTTAGAAAATTATTACCGATGTTGTTACACTCTCAAGTGCCAACCATCTCCATCAAAAGTATTTTTTCACTACCTTCACTTTACCAAGGGAGAAAAAAAATCCAGAGCTCTTACTTGATGCTCTTTTGCATTACAGTAAAACTTCTGTGCAACAGCCAAACTTTTTGTGGAGTGAGTGAGAACGCTGTTTCCTGCACATCTCTTCCTTGAGTTAGTGTAGCTATGCTGAGGTGTTGCATGTCCTCTTCACTTGTGAAATTAATGCTGGCCTTCCTGACTCCCACAATACATGCAACACTTCATTTGTAAATGAGTCATAGCCTCTCACATGAAGTCCAATTTCTTTTTGTTGTGCTCCTTGGCTCCTTGTCAGCAAGTTAAGTTGAATGGGCACAGCAGACTGGGGTGGAGGGTAAGGCTCTCTTGTGCAATACTAGTCAGAAAAAGAGGTTAAAACCTGCCTCCTTTTCAGACCAGTGTGACTCTTGGCCAAGATTTTCAACAGGGAACCTTGAGCCCAGGGTATCTCAGAAAACTCTCTTAGAGGCTGCCAGGCTATTCAGGAGTGACCAGAGCCTTCTGTGGGGACAGTCACATTTGGAGAGAGCAAAGGTCTCTGGAGATTGCTCCATGTCCAGAGCAAAAAACTGATTTTCTCATTCTTTCTGATGTGCTCTCAGACTGTCTGCTGCTCCTACCGTTTGTGGAGGGTTGGTGCAATCTGATAAAACAACTCAGAGATCTGTTAGTGCCTGGTATCAGCATCAGGAATTGCTCTGGAGAAGAAGACCTGGAGATGATACTGAGTTTTTCAGTTTTCTTTATAACCAGTATTGGAAAGAGCAAGTCTTCTTGGAAATAGCAAGCCTTCTAGAATCAGGAGCTGATTAGGGATTTATGCCCTTTGTTTTCATGGGGCTTTTTAAGAATCTAGAGGAAAGAGTTAGATCACAGTAGTTTTGAGTTTAACATTCCTGTAACTGGCAATTGTAATGATCAGTACATAAGAAAATCGGCAATTTAGGATACACCTCACCCTTTGCTAGAGAGACAGACCCTGTAGCTTTCTCTCAGTCACAGTGAATTAAAGTTGAATACTCATATCTCCATCAGGAGCATAAACTATATGGAGGGGAAGGGGGTGTATAAAGAGTTTCTGTAGCTAAGAGCTGGGGATTTCCAGTGTACTGTCTCCACTCAAAAGATTGAAACTGCTAAAGACTTTCCCAAGGTTTTCCATCTGTACTGTCATAGTAACTCCTTAGGGAGTTTATCTGTGAATAATCCCAACTCTAAGAAGCCCTTTTGTCATGGACTGTGACACCAAATAGGAGGTTTCAAGTCTCTTACTCCATCTCTGCTACTGCCTCTCCCCAAAATGCAGACAGAGGAGTTAGGCTGCTGCTGTGGTTTGTGAGCATTAGGAAGGGACCTTGAGGTAGAGAAAAAATTTTACTTGACTTACTGTGTTGCATTCAAATAGAACGTGCATCAGCCTTCAGTGGAAAGGGCGATGCCTCCACTTGCTCCAAAAGTGATTCCTCTGGGGGTAGGATACTTTGCCAGCAGTTCCTTTTCCATTTCTGTGACTAAGGATAGTCTGAGCCTATCACTTTAAAGTCACATTTTCCTCCCTGCCAAAGACATGCTCTCCATGCAAAATGTTAATGGAGTATAAATGCCAAAAGGGAGGCGAGAAATGACCTTCCTGCCAGTTTCCAGTGGGAAGCTATTAAAGGCTCTGTGGCAAGTATGAAAAGAGTAAAAGGATAATATATGTGTTTCAGCCACAGCTTCCCCAGCTTGGTAAATGAAGGAGCATTGTCCATGGCTGGTTTTCTCCAGACTGTTCATGTAAGTCTGGTAATGCAAACTAACTGAAGAGTTTCATTTGGAACTAAATGTAGAATGTAGCAAGTGTCTACCTTCTTTCTCTTCTTCCATTCCTTGCCCCATACATGACAAAATTATTTAGAATGGCTTTTTATTTACATCCTGCTTAGGTACTTGTGTGCTGTTTATGTACCATCTCAGGAGCAGGTCTCAAAGTTTGGGGATTTTTTT